AGCAAAAAACGCGTAAAAAAGTTGTTATTTTTGTTAGCCATACGCTACGATTTATAACTATAATTATAGTGTAAACTTTATCCATGCTGCCTACTTATAATTTTATATAACTATAGAATTTTATTTACATAAACTTAAAGAATGATTTTTAAATTATTGAAAATTACTAAACTTATTTTTTAGGTGTTATTTTTTTATGTATTAAATCAACTATATTTAGAAAACATAACTTTTGTTCGTAAATAAAACTTTTGTCATATGATCTTAACAAGATTTTGAACGAGAAAGAAAAAGATTTACTTCCATTAGTGAAAAAAACTTCTATAAGCAAAAAACTTCTTTCTCACAACAAATGATGATGTTTTGTGGTTTTCTTATGGTTGCTTTTACACAATTAAATCTATGATGGAGACTTTTTTTAAATTCTAATGTTTTTGCATAACAAATTAGTTAGCAAATAATTAAAAATGAAATAATTAAAAACAATTTTTCACTTATGCATGTACAATTGCTTATATATAAAAAGTATTGAATGTATTTTAATATTATTTATTACTAATTCACTTAAAGGCTTTTAAAAACAATTTCCAAATCATTATTTTATCTAACACAATAAAAATTGATTCATTCAATAATATAAAATTCCACCTAAAACTTCTTGAAAAAAAAGAGAAAAACTTAGGAATTTTTGAATCAGTCTACTTTAAAAGGCAATTTTGGAAAAAATAAATTTTGAAAGGGAAGTCATGAAAACTGTTTTCTGGTTAAATTACACAGTCTAAATTTAATTTTATGTATGCTTTAAATTTTTTGGTTTTTTCTAGCTGATTGTTTAAAAATAGCTTATGCTTAAAAACTTTCAGCTAATTAACAACAAAACATATAAAAATGTATTATAAATAAATACCTCATATGCTTCTGCAATTTCCTTAAATTTTTCAGCTGCATTTTCTGCTTTATTCTTATCAGGATGATATTTTAAGGCAAGTTTGCGATATGCTTTTTTTAATTCAGCCTCAGTTGCATCTTTAGATACTCCTAATATTTTGTAGTAATCTTTTCCCATTATAGTCTACAAAATAAAACTAAAATGAAAAGATATTGTATTTTTAATAATAAAATAATTTTCAGATAAAACCTACATAATGTGATAAAAAAAAGCCTTTGGTCTCAATAAATTTATAACAATTATTAAACTGTAGATGCTTATTTTTGTAAAAAATAGCTATAGAAGGATTTACTTAGCTTTTGACTCACTTTAGATGAAACTATGAAAAACTCTGCTTGATCTTTATTTAAAAAAAAAAACATAACTTATTTAAATATTATAAATATATATATATATATATATATATATATATATATATTAATATATATATATATTAATATATATATATATATATATATATATATATATATATATATATATATATATATATATATATATATATATATATATATATATGTGTGTGGTAGTGGTGTAGTGGTAAAACACTCGCTTCATAAGCGAGAGGTTTCGAGTTCGATCCCCACCACGTCCCTGGTAGTAACGCGCTCAACTTGTTTCTCCGCGCAGTGGCCTTGTTTGTCAAGGTTCGTGTTTCGGAGTTATAGAGTTGAGAGAGGGTTATAACCACTATTAAGTAGCCTCCTGGTCTATATGGCCTTCTCGGCCTTGAGGAGGTGAATAACAAAAATATATATATATACATATATATAATATATATATATATATATATATATATATATATATATATATATATATATATATATATATATATATATATATATATATATATATATATATATATATATATATAATTAAAATCATCAAAAAAACAAAAACTATTATTCATAAAATAATAATTTATCTATAACTATCAAAAATAAAAAAAACTGAATAGTTATTTCCAATTTCAAGATAAAACTATATTTACAAATAAGAGAAATACTTATCCATTGCAATTTTGAAAAATTAAAACCTAAAATTAAAAAAAAATTAAAATTATCAAATAAATTTGAATCTCAAAATTTGTTCATAAAATGTAACTAATTAAAAAGAATAGCACTTTCATATATTTGAAATTCATTTCACAATTTGTAATGTAAAACCGAGATTAACACATACAGTTTGTAATTTAAAACTGAGATAAAAACATACAAACAGGCGTGCATGTTTGCCTGTGTTGATATATTTTGTACTTAATTCCATACGTGCCATTTAATAATAGCTATTATAATAATAACAACTAATTTTTCTGTGGATTTCTTTTTGTGCGAGATTCAAATCCATTAGAATGCTGCTTTTATTAAAAAAAATTTCCTAGTTATAAACATAACAGTTTCATATTATAACCAATACCTATGCTTATATTATGGGTCAATTATTTGATTATATATTATATTTCTCTTACTAATGCGGAACAGATCCAGCAACTTTCTCTTTGAAATCTTTCTTTTCCACTAGATTTTATATCCGGTTTATTAAAAAAAAATTAAAAAACTAAAATAAATGATGTGACTTTAAACATCAAACATCACACCAAATATTTAACATTAAATATTAGATCAAAACATAATACAAATACAAATATTTTATAGAGTAAAATGCTTCAATATATAGTTTATTTATTTATTTTTTGTAAAGCATATTAAAAAGTGCTATTACAAAAGTCATAAAACTTTTTATGACCATTATTAGCAACAGTTTTATAAACTAAAATAAATTTAATAACAAAAAATGAAAAAAATCAAATAATAACTGCAGCTTTTTTAAAAAAATTTTCTTTATTGATTTTGAGTCTAAAATAAATGTTTAAACACTCATTATCTGTTAAACACAATTTATTATAACTGACACTATATAATTGACAGTACATCATTGACACTATACCATTGACACTATATTATTAACACTATACCATTAACACTCAATCTTGAAATCTGAAAATTTCTACTTTCTTAAGCTCAAATTTTTTTCAATTTTTTTAAACGTGCTATAGCAAACCTGACCTACCAATCAAGAACACCCTAAGTGCAGAAAATTAGATTTTGAGATATTTGGCAAAAAATTTCTTATTGTTTAATATTTGGTCAATGTGCTAATATATTACTATATTGATTTTGGCTTCGGACCAATTATCCTATAAGGCTCTGTTGAATTTTTTGAAGGTGCTAATGAATTATAGGTTATAATGAATCATGTTCAATACCTAACTAAAAAAATTTTTGCAATTAAGATGTTCTTATTAGATTTAAAATTGCTATTAGCAAGACAGAAATGTCAGGGATATTATAATTATCATATATTAAATATCTGATTAAAAAATAAATAAAAATTATAATAAAAGGTATCCATAGACTGCAAACACTTTAACGTAGGCAGTTTGGTTGGCATTGTCGAATGCCGACCCTAAATCTGAGGGCTAAAATAATTGTATATTGCTAGTGCCCATTAATTTCTGAACATCTGTTATAGAGGTTTTCTTGTTAAGGTTGACCATGACTTCAGCAATTCTTGTACTGAATTTATAGCCTTGCCTGTTTTAGGCAAATATCATTTGCCAATACCCAAATATTTATTGATGGGCCCGAATTGTGGGAAATTTGGTGGATTGAGCTTTTTTAGTACAAAATCAACCTTTCTCAATTTATACCACTACAAAGTTTTTAACCTGGTGGCACGTAGCTAATTCAGGCCAAAATAAACAAGGTCTAGCATGTGATTGAATGAGTGGCAAAAGTCATTTTTGAAGGCACTCTTAAATATAAATTTCTGATATTAAAGTTGATAACATCACAAATGCTTAATTCTTTTTTCCACAACTACAAATTGCTTGCCATAAAAGCAATTTTTTTCCATATTTGTCCGCAAGTTTGTCTTTATACTTTTTGCTTACACTGCCACAAGCAATTGAAGTATAATATCACCAGGAAGTTGAGCAAAGTCACATTTTGTGTAAGTCTCATTGTCCATCAAAATGCAGTCATTCAATTATTCAATTTTATTAAAACTTGAATGTAAAGTTTTTGTGTTTGTGTTTTGGCAATGAAATAGCAGAGGAATATTCTTTTTAAGAACAATTTGGGTGTTTAATTGATATTTAAATGATATTCTTATATCATTTTATAAATCTTCCAAGAATAGATATAGGAATTCTAGTAACTTTTGAGTCTAATTTGTAGTTTTACGATGGATATTTTTTATAATAAATTGCTTTGATGACTTTTTTTTAATATAAAAAATTCAAAAAATTATTTTTTGATTTTTTTTATGTTTTGAAGAACTACTATCATTACTTGATTAAAATATTATTATTGTTTTTTTTTATATTTATTTTGAAAGTAGTTTCCATTTCTCATTTTTTTCACATGCTTTAAAACAATAATGCAGAGTTAAATGACAGATAAAATAAAAATAATACTGATAAAAAGATAATATTGATCAGTATTATCAATAATAATAGCAACATTAAGGATGATTGAGTGCATTGGAACAAAAGACTTAAGTAACATAGAATATAACTATAGTTTAAAAAAAACAACCTCTTTGTATTTTTAATTTAAAAAAGTTAATAAAATTATTTAGAAACTCTTCAGATAAAAATGAAGAAATTTTGCATAAAAAAACATGTAAAATAGTATTTTGGTTGTGAATTTAAACATATTTTGGACCGCAAGACACCATAGGTAGAAAAAGTTAAAAAAGATTTTGGTTGTGAAAATCACAAAACCACAAAACCACTATTTATGCCTAAACTTTAGTGCAGTAAACAAAGTCACTGATAATTGACCAGTACCAGAGATTGATTTGATTAAACAAACACTTTTCACAGAATTAAAAAATTATGAAACTCAATCGAATACTTTGAAATACATGTTGCACCGAAAAAAAACTTCATTTCTGTTAGTTTTCGATTGGCCTTTTGCATCGCAAAACATTTTTGAAAATTGCATTTTCGAAGTATAAAGATTTTTTGCTTGCAAATTTTAGAGATAAAGATCTAATTATAGAAAAGATTTGACAAATTTAAAGAAATTTTTTTATGGAAACAAAAATTTGATGTATTAACTGCAAGACTGCAAACAATTGCAAATTAATCATGTGGAAAAAAAATTTGAGAATATTACACTGCAAGAATGAAATTCTTTATAAATAAAGAAATTTGCTATTTTAGATATGTTTAGTTCTACTTATTACTGCAAGGTATTATTTTCATCATTTTTTAAAATCACTGACATTAAAAACAGATTTGCAAATGACAAAACTATGAGAGATTAAGTGTTAGTTAATCAAAGAATCAAAAACTTGCTTATGATAGAAAGAAGACTAATGGGACGGTAGTTAGACTAGTCAGATCGCTCTCCAGAATTTTTGAAAATGTAATATATATAGTTTTAATATATTGTAATATATAGTTATAACTTAAGTGTAAAACATTTTAATTGTTTTTAAAGTTAATTACTCAAAGTAACTGTAATGTACTCAATGAGTCATCTATCCTTTATCTTCTAGGATTAACTCTTACTTCCAATTTTCCTGGAAACCATATATCAAATCGATTGCAAAATTAGTACCTGCTAAAGTTACATCTCTTTACTGTGCTTATAACTTTTTAATTCTGGATTCTATTCTATATCTCTATAAATCTCAATTTGTCCTTGTATGGAATAGTTGCCATACCAGATATGGCAACTATTGATATGGCAACTAACACCATAGCAGATCTTCCAATGATGCCCATTCTCTTTTAGACAAGGTGTAAAAATGCATTTTAAACATAGTTAAACCTGCTTTTGCAGACAACCTTCAATTATTATCACATAGTCATAATGTTGCTTCTCTTCACTATAAATACTATAATGGGCACTGCTCTAAAGAGCTAGCATCTCTTGTGTCATCTATTAAAATTCATTGTGTTACTCATCATTCAATTAAGTCTCATCCCTTTACAGTGACTGTTCCTAAGTGCTCCAAAAATTCTTATTCATCTAGCTTTTATCCTCAAACATCAGTTCTTTGGAATTTGCTTCCTTCATTTTGTTTTCCTGAAGTTAGTCTACAAGCAGTATTTACAAATCCGATTTATATACAATGCAAAAATGAATTAAAAAAATCTTAAAGTTGTAAACATGTTTTATCTTTCAAATAATAATATCAATGACCATGAAATTCATTTTAACCTCCAAAAAACAATATTAAGGCATGTTTAGTCTTGAGCACAACAAGCTATTACTGACTTGCACTAGATAAATAGAAACTGTGTAAAGATATTGTCTCTCTGAAAAATCACTATTGATACTGTCTATAACACTCTTGTGATGAATAATGTTAACTTGGTAAAAAAGATCCTTCAAATTTTTAACCTGATAAATACATTGCATGCTTTTACAATGATGAATGGTACATACAGCTTGTGCTTGAGTTTTATAATGAAAACCAAGATGTTAATGAGAAGTTCACGCATAGGAATAAATTAAATTTGAAATGGACTAATGATGAACGATCAAGTCAGTTCATATGACAAAGTAATATCTCCATTAAATGTTCTTGCTAATAATGATTATAAAAGTACTATGAGTTATATAAATCAGAGATAAACAAATTAGTGTATAACTGTGTTTCATTTGTAAATACTTCTTTCAACTTTACTTATTATTAATTGTTTTACTTTACTTATGTGCAGTATTTTAGTTCTACTTTTAAACTAAAAAAGTATCCACTCAAAAGGCAACAAATATTTTATAAGATAAAGTATAGATTTTAATTTTTTGGGTCATTTTCCATATTCATAATTCACCTCAACTGTTTACATTAATTTCTATGCCTGCAAAGTGAATGTAATTTATCTTTTTTTTTACAAGAAAAAGTGATCTTTTAACAGACTGTTGCAAGTGTTAAATTATCTTGTAATGCGTAACTTGGATTTTTATCTCAAGTGGTTACCCTATGTACACCAAAGTAACAAAAAATTAGCACTGCCTGTCTGTAGGTATTGAACAGTAGCACATTAAAGTTTTAAAAACTTCTTCTAGTATTATTTATATATAATATATCTTTTACAAATATTGGCGGTCTACGAAGCAACTTTCCATCAGTTGAGTCTTACCTCCTGCAAAATTCACCAGACTTGCTTGCACTCAGTGAAACAAATTTAAGTTCTGCAATTCCTTCTTCAGATGTCAGTGTTGATGGGTACTATAATATACTATATTGGAGTCTTTGATTCGTAAAGACTCCAATAGTCACATGCTAGGTTTAGGGGTATACATACGCATTAATTCCCCTATTTGTCGTGAAATCAGGTTCGAATCCTTTGACCATTCTTTTATGTGCTTTCGCCTAGCACCTCTTCACTCAATCACCTTTCTCTTTGTTCTTTATCGTTCTCCTTCTTCCCATGATTGCACTCTTTTAGATGTTATCTCTGATCAAATTGACCATGCCCTCTCTCTTTACCCCTCTGCCAATATTGTTGTTGTTGGTGATTTTAGTGCCCA